CCCTGGGCACGAGACACCCGGGCGCCCGGGGGGGAGGGGGGAGGGGGGAGGGCTGGGGTCGGGGGCTCACATAACAACAATAACACCAAACGCCGCATCGCCTCCCCGCTTGTTGATGCCTATCCCCCCCCCCCCGCACCTTGTCATCGGTACATCCCACGCAGCGCTCCGGCCCCGGCGCCGGCACCCGAGCCGGCTCACATGCGTCTCCTCTCGTGCCGCAAATGTCCCAGCGCCCGCGCGCCCCCAAGGGCCGCCATCGTTGCCCGGCCCCGGCCTGCCGATGGCCCGACACCCATTCGGCCCCGCTCCCCTTCTCCCCCTCCACCATCCCCCCCCCTCCCCCGTGCTCTCCCCTATTCCCTTTTCCATCTCCTGCCCCACCACCCTTCTCCGATCCCCGATCTTCTGTCCTCTGTCGTCTTCACGCCGACGCCTTTCTGTATGTGCCCCCCCCCTCCCCCCTCCGCGCGCGCGCGCGCGCGCTCGATATTCCCTTGCTCCTGATGTTTCTACCGCCACTGCTGTTGTGTCGCGGCGGCCGCCGTCCCGCCATGTCCCGTCCTTGCACTCACCTGTCACCCCTGCTGTCTGTTCTCCCTACGTCCCTCCCTCCCCCCCCCCCTCCCCCCCCCCGCACAGAAACACTCGCCACCATGGATATGTTTGGTTCCCTGCTCAACTGGCTCCGTTCCCTCTTCTGGAAGCAGGAGATGGAGCTGACCCTTGTCGGTCTCCAGAACTCGGGCAAGACCACGCTGGTCAACGTCCTGGCTGTACGCTTGTCTCCCCTCCCCCTCCCCCTCCTCCTTTGTTTAGCTCCTTCTCTGCACATCCGCCCATCTCGTTCGATGTGGCTTTTGCTTATCCTTCCCTCCCTCCCTGCTCGGGCTCATTGGTTGACCTCCCACCTCCCCTCCCTTCCCCCATTGGATCCCTCGCCGCGTTGATCGCCCGCCCACAGAACGGCCAGTTTACCGACGACATGATTCCCACCGTCGGCTTCAACATGCGCAAGGTTACCAAGGGTAATGTCACCATGAAGCTCTGGGATATCGGCGGTCAGCCTCGCTTCCGCACCATGTGGGAGCGCTACTGCCGTGGTGTGAATGCCATCGTGTGCGTCCAATTCCGCCCGCCGCCCATGTGGCCACACTGCGCCACCGGTCGTCTAACCGCCTGTCCCTCCTCCCCCTTTTCCTTCTTTCGCTCGCTCGCTCGCTCTCTCTCCCTCTCTGCCTCTCTCTTTCGCTGCCTCTCTCTTTCGCTGCCTGTCGCTGCTCCTCATCTTTGCCATCCCCGCCCATCTTGTTGGCAGTTTCGTCGTCGACTCCGCCGACCACGAGCGCATCCCCCACGCCAGCGCCGAGCTGCATGCTCTGCTGGAGAAGCCCCAGCTGGCCAACATCCCCGTCCTGGTCCTGGCCAACAAGAACGACCTGCCCAACGCCCTGACCGCCGACCAGGTGATCGAGCGCCTCGGCCTGCAGGACATCTCCAACCGTGAGATCTCTTGTTACTCGATTTCCGCCCGCAACCAGGTCAACCTGGACACCACCCTCAACTGGCTCACTCGTCATGCCGAGAGCAAGTAAGGCCTTTCGCATCCTCCCCTCCCCTCCCTGGTCTCCCTTCCCCCCCCCCTCCCCCCTCCCTTCACTTTCCTCCCTCTCCTTGCCGCCCACATCCTCTCCGAGAGAGGGGCCGAAGATGCCGGATACATTGGCCCACGCGCTCTTTGCCTTTCTTTTTCTCTCTCCCCCCCCCTCCCATGTGCGCGTGTCGTCATGGGCGCACCCCACCGCCCCATGTGCCTCCCCCCTTTTTCGGGGCCTGCGGCGCTGGCGTGCGTCCGCATGTGCATCGGGTGTCGCGCCGCGCGCCGCGAGGAAGGCATGGTTCTTGAGCCATGCGCCTCAGCACGCGACAGCAAGTGGATGATGGGGGGGGGGGGGGCGAGCGGTCGGACAAAAGTGCGACAGCAACAGCACCCAGAGGGAGCGAGCGAGAGAGCGAGAGCGAGGGGGGGGGGGGAGGTGTGCATATGTGTGCTCGCGGGCACGCATGCGCCGACTACTCCCCCCCCTTCCCTCTCCCCCTGTCCTCTCCCTCCCCCCTCCCCCACCCTTCCTTTCGAAACCATCCCCTTCGTTTCCTCTCCCCCTCTCCCCGTCTCCCACACCTCGCAGAAAACTCCTTGACTCCTCCTCTCTTCACATTCTGCCCTCTCCCCCCCCCTTTCCGCGAGAGAGAGAGGGCACCGCCTATTCTTGTCGGTCCCCAAAAAAACAAACCCCTCTTCTTGTTTTTCGATATTGTGTCTTTCCCTTTGTGTGATGTTACATTCGTCTTGTTCCTCCTCGTGTGCCTCCCTCGCGCCTGCCTGCCTGCCTGCCTGCCACCCGGGATGGATGCTTTCTGCTCCCCCCCCTCTCCCTTTGCGTGCAGATAGGCACACCCGGCTGCGCGGGGGCATTCGGGGTTTCGAATCTGTCTGTATATTGTTGAGGTCACAGGCCGGGGTTCGGGGACTCGCGCTCGGGGGGTGGACGGGATGATGTTGCGGAAAGGCAAGCAGGCTCTTCGGGCCCGAACGGCTCATCGAAGATTTCTCCCACGTCTCTGGAGTGCCTGTCCCTTCTCCGATGGCTGCGCGATTGACGGTCAACTGGCCGACGGCGCGAGCCAGGCGCCCTCTCCGTCTCCTGCGAGGTGTAGCCCGGGCTGCGGTGGCGATCGCGCCGCCGGCTTCGGCTCCGGGCTTGGCTGCGGCTGCGGCTGCGGCTGCGGCTGCGACTGCGGCTGCGACTGCGGCTTCTCCCACGGGACTTGCTTCCCAGATCGCGATCGCGATCATTCTCGGCATCGCTGTCACTGCCACCTGCAGGCAGGGCCTCGAGATCCGAATCGACGTCCAGGTCGTCGCTGGCCTCACCGTCTCGCCCGGCGCCTTGCTGCTTGGCGATGCGCCGTCCCCGGCGAACCCTGCGCGCACACCGAGGGCAAACTCGCACCTTGACAAGGGCCTCCTTGAGCTGCATGCGGCTGCGGTCCTCGGCCGCTGGCTCTTGATACCGGAAGAGCAGTTCATACGAGCGTAGCCCGGTGTCTGCGGCGCATCGGATCGACGCGCAGAAACGTCTCCCTATGTGTGTGTGTGTGTGTGGGGGGGGGGGGGGGGGGGGGCGCGTGTGAGTCAGCGCTGGAGGAGTGTGCGCGGTCGCGTGTGCGGTGGCCCACACAAGACGTACCCTTGCCGGCGATGACCTCGGACTCGGTTCTCCAGCGTAGGGCGATCTGCCGGGCCGAGTGGGCGTCAGGACTTCTTTCTCTTCTCGGCAAGCAATCGACAGCCCCGGCCTCCGGGAGGACGCACCAGTCCCTGCCGATAGCGTGACAAATCCGCCAGGCAATACTCCTTGAACAGGCGATTGTAGTAGTGTTCCGAAACACGCTTTTCCCAGGACTCCACGTCCACAGCCACCGGGCCGGCTGCGTCGGCGCTTGCGGCCGAGCCCGACTGTTCACCATCGCGCACAAACTGCCAGTGGTCCCGTAGGATGTCGCCCTCAGTCCGAGGCGGGGGCTGCGGCGGAGAGGACTAAACGCCGAGGCCAGATCAGGGTTTCGGGTTAATCCGGTGAGCCAGCGGCTCTGGTTGAAAAGTGTATGTATATGTGTGCGTGTGTGTGTGTGTGTGTGTGATGGCCGGACACACTCACACATCCAGGGGGAGGAAGAAGAGGTGGAGGGGGGGGGGGGGAGGAGAAATCCACGAACCATTTCTTTCGGGGGCGGAAGCACAGCACCGGGAACGGCAAGGGCAGGGGAGGGAGGTTATCCGTGGCTTGGAGCGTAGGAGAGCGAGGCGAGAGGGATGAGGCAATGAGCGACACGCGAAAATTTATGCAATGGTCGATGTATGTATATGTGCGTGTGTGTGTGTGTGTGTGTGTGTGTGTGTGTGTGCAAGCGCGGGTGTCTGGGAGGGAGGAACCGCAGGCGAGGCGCAAAGAATGGTGTGTGGCCAAAAGTCTGCGAGACTTACGGTTCTGCAGTGCCCAATCACGTGGACGTCACGTAATCCAGTACCCCGGTGCAGCATCTGCTCCATCACCCTGCCCGCCTCGTACGCGCGTGTGTGCGTTTGTGCGTTTGTGCGTTTGTGCGTGTGTGTTCGTGTGGGAGGGGGAGAGAGTCTATTGTTGTGGGCTGCAGAGCGAGACACGGAGGCAACTCCAATAGAGACAGCGGGCGGGGGGCATCTACTGCTTGGGTTTGAAGAAGGCGCCTAAGGTGGCCTGCTTTTTGGCAGGCGGAGCGGTACCCTTCTTGGCAGCCGCAGCCGGGGCGGGGCGTTTGTTGGCCGAGCCAGTCGGAGCAGCCGAGGTGGCAGTCGGGGCAGGCTCCAGCAAGGGCGCCGGGGCGGGCTCCTGCGGGGCCTGCTCGCTGGTGGCAGTGTCCGGATCGACCTCCTCCCAAACGGTCACATAGCGGGTGGTGGTGCGCCCGGTGCGCTCGCAGCGCGTGACCTCGCGCTTGTGAACGGCACGCATGCCCGGGCGCGGAGCCGCCTCGGTCTTGCGGGCACTTGGCGCTTGCACATCGTCCACATGCTGGAGGGAGCTCATGGGCGAAACTTCGAACGAGGAGGACGAGGAAGATGAAGAGGACGAGGAAGAGGCAGTCTGGGCAGCGGCAGAGGAGAAGAAAGAGGCAGATGAGGAGGACACGGTGGCGGTCGCGAGCAGGGGCGACGGTGCCGAAGTCGGATCGACCAGCGTGGCGGTGGAG